TCTGAGTTCGGATTTCATATGGAAAACCATCACTGCAATAACGTCTAATCAAATTCTATTTGAGACAATTTATTCATTAGTGCGTGTATCCATAGGTTTACTTGCTTCTGTGAATCAATGTACATTGACTACACATAGTATGAAGTCCGTGAATGTATAACGGAACACTGACCAGTTTAGTTATCCAGTAGAAAAAAGGGAAAATTTAACATTCCTGTCCTCACACACCTTGTTATCTCTGGACGTCATGCATTTAATAGTTCCCTTAATTATTATTATTATTCTTATTTACTATCATTATTTGTCCCTTGGGTTCCTAGTGGAACATAGGGCTTCAATAGCACGTCACCACCTCACTCTGTTATACTCAGTCTTCTTAACCCGACTCTTTCACTGCCCACAAGCTTCCATCTCTTCCTCACACCATCTCCTTCATGTCACCCTCAGCTGCGACGCCCACCTCGTTGTTTTCCATTTGGAGATACCCTGCACCAGGCCAGTCGTCGAGTTTATATCCAATCCATCTCTATTTTCTTCTTCTGCATGTTTGTTGGGCGATAGGTTCTTGGTTGGTTGGTTCGTTGTCAGGCAAGAGTTCCTCCTTACTTATTCTTTCTGGTCATCTCATTTGATCTCCAGTATCGAGCATAGGCAGCTGTTTTTTGAAAATGCTTTTCGTAAGGCACCAAGTCTTTCAACCATCACATAGAAGCACTGACTTACTTGACTGATATTAGTGTTGAAAATCCGGATGTTGTTCAAACTTTATGCTGAGTGCATTGCAGTACAATGCAGCAGATCTCCATATTAATCTGAGATCAATGAAGCCCTGTCTTCCTTTTAATAGTTCCTTCAAAGTAATTCACAAAGTGCCTTTCTGTAATTTCAAAAGCCTTCAACTGTGTCATCTATGCATAGTCAAATCATTGACAATTGGCAGTTTTAAAGTAGACATTTGTGTCATAAAGTATTACGTGCAATCATTAGCTTTACCCTGACCAGGGTAGTGATTTTTTTTCTGTCTTTCAAAAAAAAAAAGCTTTACTACTCCACTCTTCGGTACTATAGTAATCATGTGTTCCTATTGATTACCAATAGGCTATTCTTTGATAGAAACTGAATGTTCTGAAACACGTAATTCTGAGAGTGAATAATGTATATTTATAACTTGATGAATTTTTGCTTAACTCGAATGATTACGGTAAACGCCAGTCAACATCATAAAATCCCTTCGAATAGTAAGTAATAAAATGAGATCGGTGGAAGATGAATGAGTGACAGATAGGAGTTGAATAAGTCTAGAATAATATGATCCTTGGTCTACGAAAAAAGATGAAGACTGGATATGAACTATTTGAAGTTATCTTATCTCTTACATTTTAAGTAACCTATTTCTTCTGTCTTGATAAACTCAACAACTTACATTTTGCATGTATAACTCAAAAACATACTAGCTAAGTGTAGGAATCTTTTGTGTAAGGTATATTAACTTTGTAGACTTGTAAATGCAGTTCATCTAGTTGAATACATAACTGTCGACCAACAGGTTATGGATTGAAACTCAGATTTCTACACTCACTTAATGGTAACTACACAATAGTAAGTCTCCTAGTCTGGTGGCCACATTGTAAAAGTGACTTACAGACTAGACAAAATGGGATTGGTCACTCATCACTGACCAATCAGTGGATGATAAAGGCTACCACCACCACACGCTACCCCAACAAGTCGGTTTGCATAGAAATCTGGTGAACAATCGTATGACATAACATTATCCCGGTTTCTTCTGTTTATATGATGTACACACAATACAGTATCCTAATAAAAACAATAATAAAGTAACTGGAAAAGATATTGCAAAAATATAGTGGGACTTGATGCGTTACGAAAAGCATTTCCAGCAAACTACAGACATGCATGAACAGCTGCCTCATACGCCCACTCCATACTAAAGATCAGATCAGATGACCAGAAGTAATAAGCAACAATCAAATCTGGCCTGGCAACCAACCAAACAACAACCTACCACCCAACAAATATGCAGAAGGTGCAGATAGATTGGACTGGACTGGACATACACTGAGAAGACCGTTTGTGGAAATCACACACCAAGCCAGGCCGTTGAGTGAAACTCAAAAGGGGAACGACGAGTTCAGAGTCCGAGGGTGACATGCAAGAGGTCGTGTGAGAAAGAAATGGAAGTTTGTGGGGAATGGTGGAGCCAGATTAGAATGACTGCCGGGAAGAGAAGAGAGTAAAATGATGACGTGCTACTGAAGCCCTATTTTTTCACTAGGAACCCAAGGCACAAATAATAATGATAAAAATAGTTGTTAATCCATCGCTGAGTCAGAGTACGGGTGATACAGTCCAGACTTGTAAATGGGAGCTGAATTTTAGAAACCTGCACTGAAAGATAAAATACCGGAGTATCTTTGAAGCTATTTTTCATATTTTGCTTTTCCTCAGCCTGTAGTATCTAATGTAACTCTATAAAGTGGAAGACTTGAAGAATTTAGTAGGATTCAATCCCGAAATATATGTGTCGGTTCAAAATACAGACCTATCATTATTGGTCTACTTTGCTGATATATACAGATCGTACTTTTTCCCTTTTCATCCGAACTTATTAAAAAGGAATCGTTTTGTCTATACTTTCATTTCATAAGAATAGATTTTTATTCATTTCAGATTAACTTATACATTTCAAGGGAGATAGCTTTTTTTGCAAAAACTAGCTCCAACATAAAGGCCTAAACTAGATAGCTTCAATGAAAAGAAACGTGATAAGAGGATAAGTAAATGCATTCTTGACAGAAACCACTTATTTTTAGAACTGACTTAATTGTAGAAAATACATTAGAAAGCGGATAGTAAGCCTCTCAGGTACTGACTTAATCATTGATTACTGCTGAAAAAATGATTTTAGACTAAGCAATTTAGATACTTAGGTGCAGTCAAACTATTTGCATCATATTTGAAAATTTGTTTTGTCGAAGTTTATACAGGGAACTAATTGTTTTAAATACAATTAGCTTAATTTTTCTCTTAACTTTTCAATCTGAAATATGTAACCAGTTTTTTGGAGATTCGATTTTAGTAATATTAACAAACAGCTGAATTCCCTTTGTACTTTACACTTAATAAACAGTAGTTTTAATACCATTTATTAAAAAACTTACCCAACAAAGGATTTTTTGTTAGGGTTACTTAACTTTAGTCAACGTGAACAACAAAATGTGTAACTGATTCATTCAGCTAATCTTTGTAATTTTAATAACAGAATAGTCGTTTATCATAATAAAGTTATGCATTAGAAAATACTATTTACTGCTACAGTGATAATATTTAATTGCATATTGGTCAACTTTCTGTATATAAGATGACACCTTTTCAATATGGAACTTTTATACCTACTTATTAATGATACTTTTCATAATTGGCTATCTATTTCCTTCATTTGAAGGCTTTAGTAGAAGATATTGACTAATAAGTAATTTTGTGGGGTCCGACTATGAAATGGATGTGCCAACCAAACCTCCTTACTGCAGATTATGTGCGACGGTTCTCACCTTAGGTGGTAATCCCCAACTGCTCCTGATATAGATGTTCATTTTGGTTATTCCTAATCAACTTTTTCGTATTTGTATCAGTGGAGGTTATTACATTTGCTTTCAACTACATCTGAAGTCATTACATTGTTAGAAAGCATGTGTTTAACCTAAACTAAGAGTAATATAGTAAATTGATCTGTTTTGTTTCCGCACAAAGTTTCATATTTTAACTCCCATCACAGATATACTATATTTCTCCTACTATCTTGCTGTCTGTTGATATTGATAAGTAAGTACTGGCCGTAAGTTAAATCTAGGATTCACTAGGCTTACAACTGATCCAATTTAAGATTTGCTACGATGTTTTAGTATGAGCATGTTAAAGAGGTGACAACATTTATAATCCTTTGATAGTTGTTAGAAAATTTAACGTGGAATTTCGAAGTCGTTATTTTTTTAATTTCATAAAATGAAGTCTAATGTATACAAGAAGCCTTATAAGCCCGTGGATACTGAGAATTGAACGCCAGACCTGTTTGTAACCTACTATGTGATTCTCAGTATATTAGGTGAAGTGTTCATGACATTTGGCACCCGGATCCGGCTATGTGAGTATGATGAACTGCAAGTTTTTGGATTCTTTCTTTCAGATGTTGATGTTCGGTTTTTCCTTCCTCCTATTTTTGAAATATTTTGATTTGACTATAAACAAAGTGTACCATAACACTGTAAACATGACATAATAATACTCAAATAAAGATTAAGTCCTAAAAATGGTGACGTATTACTTAGCTTTTGTGATTTTTCTACTCCTAAACGTAACGAATACTTTTTCCAGTCAAAATATTCATCGAATTAAACAGGTTAATGCTGGAAACTGTGTTTAACTACAGTCGCCTTATGAAGCCAATATCAGTTTACCTTAGACCCAATATTGGTCCATCATTCGACGGAACAAAACTAGCAGGAATGATAGCTTATACTAGGTTCTGTGAATTGCATAGCCTTGGAAAATACGCCACAAATAATATGGGGAAAAACTTTGACTTCTCGACGCAAGTGTGCATAATTTGCGGAAGAGTTATCTTCAAGTACAGACCCGGCAGTATTATCATCCAATATCTTTTAACTAGCTAGTGCAAACCAATTGATTTATTCGCGCTCGCTTCATGATGAAAAGAAAGTCTAGCATTATTACAGGAATTTATAAGGACTCCCACTTCATATTCAGACCATACAGAGATTCAAAGCCGCTCTACTTAGGTCCCTTTGACTCACAACTAACTGATGTTTCTGAGGCCAAATAGATCTCAGAAGATAAAGATAATGTTCATTACAGTGAACATTAAAACAAATTTGAACCGATATGTTCCTCATCGAAACATTTGACTGAAAATTTTCAAAGCAGAATAATGTGACTAGACAGATTAGCATGTATTTACTTACTGTTCAAAGTTTCAGGTAACGATTTCATATTGTTAACAACACCATAATGTTCCATTGGTCCCCCATCGACAAAATTTCCACTCAATGATCCACTTTCGGTCCTAGATGATGTGAAGAACTCCTCAGTATTCCCCGAGCTACACTTAGTGATAAAGAGTTTCGATGAGCAATTTTACAGTCGTTCAAGTTTTTGCTAACATGAACTTCTTTATATGTCATTTTTTCACATTTAGTTGGAGAAAGTCGATAATTTTCAACCTTATTCATCTTGAAGATCAAATATGCCAAGCTTTGGTCTCAAAACAAAACAATTAAAAAATTTTCTTTAAAAAATCTTCCAGGGTGAACGTTATTTACAAAACACATTAAAAAGGCGGTTGTTTTTGAAGGTTGAACTGTGTATTCTGAAGCATTATAACTAATACCCCGAAATTGCCTTATCTGAAAATAGTTATCCGTTAGTAATTTACAATCCATATTTATTATGAAAAGGGTTGTATTTCATATTCACAAACCTCTATTGCCTCAAATAGGAATTGAACGGCGCGCTCCTTGGATACTGACGTGTTTTGTCTCATCTGCATTCTACTTGGAAATAACCGTATATCACCCTTCCTAATCGGATATTTCCTCTACGAAATAAACAGTCTCGCTGGAAAAACATTGTCCTACGGAACGTACAATCTTCAGTCAGTCAATGCCATCACTCTCAAAACGGACAACTGTGTGGTAGGTCTAACAGTCTCGATCAACTGCTATAGCTGAGGTTGCTGCATCTGCAGCGCTATTTATCTCATTTGATCATATAGTTTGGACCTGTGGGAAGCTTTGGGCGTTCTTCCGTGTCATACAACTGGGCAATCCTAGGTAAGGTTGTCAGCGCACTTTATCCATCATTGCTTTTCTACGTTCCACTTGATACAACCGTCCGTGTCATTTATATCCCTCCTTATCGTCTATGGAGATGAGTAACAACTGAGTTCTAGCCAACCTGGTCTCAGGAACATCTCAGGTAAAGACTCACCCCAGCTACTAACCTGCCCGTCCTTGGTAGTGCTTAGGGCTGCAGGCAAGAGGCTTATTGCTGCAGCCAATGATCACAGGTCGACCCCAAGGGGACAGTCAAGACAATTACTTCCTGCGAAAAGTCGAATTCCTGTCCCCCTGAACCACTGTGTTTCAGTTCATCGAACAGCATGTCTTTCTGGTACCACCAACCCAAACTCTAGTCTACCTGTGAAGGCTGCCGCTGAGAGACGGAAGAGGAGAAGGAAACCCTTAGCTAAACCTTCAAATCAGACTGATGACTGTCATACATGTGTTCTCACCGTAACCGAAGGGGATGCTGCTTTTGAGTGTAACATCTGCAGTAAGTGGGTACACAGTCAATGTGACGAGGACATACCGGAACAACATTACGCCTTCATGACGCGCTACCCATGCACTTGGTCCTGGTATATCTGCCAACAGTGCTGTATTAGGCCAGTGTTTTCTGTAGGCTCGCTCAGGAAGGTCTTAAAGACACCACTATGGCTACTGTGCTGCCGGTACCCGTGCAGACCACTGCCCCAGGTCCAAGCGACAAAAGTGCTAGCAGTGTCCCCGGACAGTCACACTTGTGATCAGTTCAAAAGAACCCAAACGACGACCAGGCACGCAACTAACCACATTAGTGCCTAACTCCTAGGCCACTTTAACGGCTACCCCCATTGCACATTGGGAAAAAGGGTCACAGTGGAAAAGAAAGTGCACCCTTCCCACAAAGACCCACGCACAGTGAGCGAGAACAGAGGGGTTGATGACAGATCGAATTCCGTCGGCCTGTTTAGCGTCCGTGTGTGCCATGATAGACCTCTTGAGAACAGCGAGTCTCTTGATAAGCGGTAGTGGCAAGCGGTTTGAGCCATACCAGGACTGGGCAGCTTAGAATCAAAGCTGTGCCGGCCCCACAAAGGCAAATACTCACCTCAGGGAAATCCCCCACCGATGAGGGTGACCCTGGGCTCGGCTAGGGAGTAGGAAAGATTCTTGTTGCCATCTCATACGCTAATCATCAGCTGGTCATCCAGCATTGGGGCCATGCCAGACTGGCCGTGGTCAGCGGGAAAAGTATCTCGTGAGTCACCCCACACGCTGGGACTAACAACCATGGCTTTCGGCGTCATACTGAAACCAATAACCTGCACATCAGTAGAGAAGTATGCTCACGACGTCCAACAATGACAGTCGTTATCAGTGAGGACAGGGTTAAATGGGTAACCGGCGGCGGCGACGGTCTGCAGACCGCCACATCTCTCACATTCGGCGACGATAATATCACCTAGACAGATGGCCATTAACTCCGGGTGTCAAGAACTTAGTGCGCAGCGGAAGACACTGGCGGGAAAGTTCGTTGCTATGAAAGCAGGCCCAGAACACCGTGGCAACAGCAGGCAACAGCTCCGCCTAGTACCGGGGTCACCACCGGCAAGGCAGGCAAGATATCCAACCCAGACTAGACTCTACAAAACCCTGGAATCCACTACCGGGAAAAACGTGATTGGGCCGGTTCCACCGCAACTGGCCTTCCCGTAGCTAGTTTTACCATTGCGCACTACCCTCTTCAGTCTGCCACCACCAAGACGCCCCATATTGTCACAGACATATCCAGGTGTCCTTACAGTAATATGAAGCAAGATGGGGGAATCACGACCTCTCTGTTCCCGCCTTGCTCCAACTATCATAATCCTGGCAGACATTTGGTTCTCACCGGACATTAGTGACATCGAAAATGGTATAGACGGTATGCGTCTGTTCAGAGGAGAAAGGGGGTTTAAGAAAGAAGATGGAGCGGCAATACTTATAAGCGGCCATCTTGAAAGTGAACGAGTGGCTGCAGCTACTTTTGGGGCTCTCAGACTCCATCTGGCCTCACTTCATGGTTGAACACACCAAGTACCTGGTGGGGGGGCGTCTACAGAACTCCTGCTAGCAACCTAGGACATAATCGGCAACCGCTGCAAGTAATGTCGGGAGTGACGTCCATGGGATATGACCAGGTCATTATAGTCGGCGACGATAGTAAGTTGATGACTATGGGAATTGACTATCCACTATTGGGATGGATTGAGTCTTTCCTCAGTAATCGCACTCAGGTGGCGAGGGCAGATTCACACACTTCAAAACTCAGGCCGATCACCTCCGGTGTTGTTCAGCTCAGTGTACTAGGCCCCCTTCTCTTTAATTTATACGTCAACGACATCAGCAACTGCTTTACATACGGCAAACCATTCTTGTTTGCTGATGACCTAAAAGTTGCATGCACATTCACCCGTGATAAGTTATCGCGCTTCCAAGCGCCAACACAAAGGGAGCTCGATATAATGTCCACATGGTCTGCTGCTTGCAGACTTCAGTTCAACATAGGCAAATGCGGCTACATATGTTTTGGTGCTCCGTCGGTGGATATCCAGCTACATCTTCAGTCTACAAAACTTCTTGTTCTTAAAAGTGTGTGCGACCTTGGACTAAGATATTCAAGGGACCTCACATTTTCTGAACAGGTAGCATCACAGACTCGCAAATCTAGGATCCTGATGGGTTGCATAGTTCGTAACTTCCACTTCAAAGAAGTGGAAGTACGTCCACTGTTAGAATACTGTCCATCTACACTGAGTGGTATCCGCATAATAGACAAACATAAAATAGAGGGTGTCCAAAGGTATTTCACAGCTAGATAGTTAGGACACGATTGCAAACAGGACTACAGCTCCAGATGCACAACACTAAGTCTGGAAACACTTTGGATGAGACGACTCAAAATTAACCTAACTCCATTCTTTAATGTGTTACATAAACACACGTTTACAGCCAGTGGTGAGTTTCAGTTCGAACACAACAGTTGTTACGATCTGTGCAACCACACCCATAGCGTCAAAATGAAGTCGTTCAAATCCTGCTGGCGCGCAAACTTCTTTGTCGTCAAATTCTCTCATTTGTAGAACAGACTTCCAGCTAAAGTGAAAGCCTCCAAAACAACCTCCAAATTTGGTCGGTTACTGGCTAACTTCTTATCATCTGGTGACTTCTACGGCTTATCAAATACACCAACAGTCTCTTTCGCGACACATAGTATACTCGGCTCTCTTAATGTATAGTGAGAGCCACCACACATACACTGACCTTTCATGCGAAGCGTTGAGGAGACTTCCATAAGTTACCACCTCAAACTAACGGCACATTCTGCCCCACCCAACACGGTAATCAAAAACAGAAATCCTACACCATGTGACAGCAAGAAATTTATATTTTTAATACTCTATAGAAAAAAATATGCAATGGAAGCCACAGCAAGGAAGTTAAGTAGGGAGAAACATGAACATAGAAAACACTCTCCTCCTTGAAATTCTCGCTTTCTCCGCCTGCTGCTTTGTCTGTCCTTTTCTCGTTGTAGAAAAACAATTCAGTTCTGAACGTTGGCTTTGTTGCCATCAACAATTAATTACTTAAGGAACGGACCATGGCTGACTACCCTCATGGAGGGTAACCAGTTTTAGAAAGTTCAGAATACCTAACTACAACAAGCAGGAAAAAATGTTCACTGAACTACAACTTCATAGTTATCAAAATCTAGGACTCACTCATTATGAAAGTGACCAGCAAAGTGAAACACTTACCAATTGCAAGGCTGTCATGACCCGTGAAGACGGCGGACAAGATGCTCTGGAAGTTCATTTGGTGCATTCAAATAAGTCTATTGCTTCTAGATGCTGGAGTTGTAGAAGTGAAGATATTTGGCTTTTAGTCATAATATTCATCATGATTATGAATCTTTGTTGTGGAATGGTATTAACATGGATGAATTATACAGTCCAGGAACCATCAATAAAGTACAATATGTAAACAATTCGTGCATACATTCCTTCATGAACTTTTCACCATTATCTCAAGTAGAAAGTACAAACTGTTACAATGGAAGTATCAGCTTCAAGCTTTAGTTTTCTCCAGGTAATACTGTAATGTCTAGATACAAACCTGGTGTTTTTTTCATGAATGCGAAGACAATACTTCCACTCC